AGTAAACAATATTCTTCAATCTACAAAATCCTTCAGACAAAATAACTAATGTTTTCGGGAATGAATCAAACATACATATACCTAAATTGCAAATGAAAACTTAAAATTTATTAATAATTTATACACCATAAACGTAAAAGATAAAGATGATTTTTTTTTAAAAAGAAGCAATGTTGTTTATATTATACCACTTTGTAATAATAATTGCGTATTACAATTATGTAGACCAAATCCAAATTCACTCATCATATATCTCTCTAACTATAAAACTAATATTAAAAATAATAAACGTAATTGTGCTTGGCGCATAAATAGCTAATAGTTTTCAATTAATTTAGATATGTTAGTTATTAACAGTGACTTTGGTATTCGATGTTAATAAAAACATGTTTTTAACAAAGTATATACCTACATAGATATATATTTTTTTAATGAAAATAAATATTTAAACGAATAGAATATAATAATAACAGTAACACTAACAATGACAATAATAATAGTAAAAGATGATAATTATAATAATAATATAAATTCACAAATTAATGAAGTCTATAATTTACTCAAAATTAAACTGACCATTGCAATAAGTCGGTTGAAATCAGTAAATTAATCCCTGCAACTATTGAGTCATATTAGGCTGTTTGCACCTGCGGTAACAATTGAAATTCACGCATGCGTTCTAAATGCTACTACCACTTATTATCAGCCATTAGACAATACGTATTTGTCTATTACGCGTGTTTCTGTCTAGATGTAGTTTTTTTATACAAATTTAAATTGTTTGTTGTTGCTGTTAACAAAAAACAGACATACATTGCACCGACAAGGAAAAGGCTATAATAATTACTCTTTACTCCAGTGGAATTAGATCATAAAACCTGAAAATTAAAAAAATTATTAGTAGGTATTTATTTATTGCATTTTATAGCGGGCAAGGGTATGTAGAATGATAATATCAAAAAAATAACTCGAAAGAAGTGACGTTTTGAATTACTTAATTTAATTAAGAAATCTAAAGTCATATTTCACCAATTTGTTAACTGTAAAATATGTCGAATGCGGAAAAATGAGTTTTCGAAAATTGAGCATTATTATTGCAAAAGCAGATGGATGTTGATGAAATTTATGGAAAAGACAGTCAGTCCAAAGATCAACATATGTGCCAAAGGCCAATTCGATTGACCGTGAAATTGTTGTTCCAGGTATTTGTTAAGTAATTTCGTTCGTGTTTTGCAATTAATTGTTTAATTAAACGTTAATTTTAGAAGTTAATATCGTAGATATAGGTTCTATTTGATCAAAAGAAACGTATCGAGAAAGAAAATTTTCAAAAAGTTGAGATTAAGTTGCCCTTTATAATTAACAAAATATAATGTGCAAAACAGCGTTATAGCTAGCAGCAGTAAAAGTTAACGCTAATGAATAGCTTGTAGGCGGGAGAAGGAGCTCTTGATCCGCGCACGCACGTGAATGCCGCCTTCGTCGCGCGCAGAATTTTTTAACCGAATTTGAAAAATTAGCGCGCTACGAGAGCGACGTTCACGCGCATGCGCGAGCCCGCACTGCACGTGTGCGATACGTCCAACAGTAAATTAACAATTAACGTTATAAGAAAAGCTGTCGTGGGAACAAAGCGATGTAGGTGATTTCTCTTTTTTTTTAAATCAGCGTAAAAATAAACACTAATGCAAAAATACCGAATTCACGAGCGGCTTTTGCCTGATCCTGGGACAATTTTTTTATAATGCTGTTTTGCACGTCCTACTTTATTAGATGTAAAGGCTACTTAATTCTAACTTTTTGAATTTTTTTGATACGTTTCACATTAACTTCTAAAATTAACGTTTAATAATTAAACAATTAGTTGCGAGAAAAACGAACACAATTAATCAATAAATTGCTGGAGCAACAATTTCATGGTCAATCGAATCGACGTTTGGCACACATGTTGGTCTTTAGATTTACCATCTTTCCCATAAATTTGATCAATAGCCATCTCTTTTTGCAATAATAATGCTCAATTTTCGAAAACTCATTTTTCCGCGTTCGACCTTTTTTTACAGTTACCAAATTGGTGAAATATGACTTTGGATACCTTAATTAAATAATAGGCCTACATGCCTACATGCCGCCAACATAAAATAACTAATTTTCTGATATGTCGTCTAGATTTTCATGGGCAGTAAAAAAGTGAAAAAACACGTACCTAATATTGCAAATTACTTAATCGCAATTTGCCAACTTAACGTCACTTCTTTCGAGTTACTTTTTTGATATTATCATTCTACATACCCTTGCCTGCCATAAAATTCAATAAATAAATACCTACTAATAACACAGTTTACAAAAAAAAAAAAAAAGTCCGGACTATTTGACCAGACCATGCTATCCCGAGGTATTTTTGCGTCCTGAATCCGATACCGGGGTCAGCTGAGCCCCATCACGTCAGAAAAACGAGATTTCAAGGTCATTTAGAAGTTAAAATGGCCATTTTTCGGAACTGGACCCGGGACAATTTCTCAAGAGATCTGTTAAGTTGGAGTGTGACTGTTTAGTTCTTGAATACCTTCCAAACATTGGAAAGGAGCCCTAAATCTCGACCGGAACTATCACAGAGACACCCCAATGGATAAAATGTTACCATGATTGTTGTATCTCGCGGATTTCGATCTTCCTGTCAAGGCATCCAACTTCGTCGATCCGTTCGCTGTGAGGTATTGACAGTGAACCCAGCACTACTATTAAACTGAACTCTGCTATTAGCATCACCCAGGAACAACGACGTGGACGTTGCAGATTCTGTTCCCTTCGGGGTGCTTGTTTACAGTGAGTCCCCTTGCCTCTCACTTTTCTCCCTCCCAATTTTTGAAGATTCTGTTCCCTTCGGGGTACTTGTTTACAGTGAGTCCCCTTGCCTCTCACTTTTCTCCCTCTCAATTTTTCAATCTTTCCGCGCTTGTTTATGGGGTCTGCAGGTTTGCTCAAAACTACTTCTAAGTGCCTTTCTCTTATGCCCCTTGTTCGTATCCCTCTTCAAGTTCCAGCAGTAGTCTGCCAACATGTTGATGTCCCAGAAACCTTGGTATCGTCGTTCCATCTCTTTTATATCTTGGTGAAATCTTTCACCTTGTTATTCGCTATAATGTCCAAGGTTTTCTGGGAAATTTTCCAAATGTGAATCCAAGAAATGGACCTTCATCAGACATCCAATAGCTTTGTAGTTCCGGAGCAAGCCCTCCACCAACTCCTTATAGTTTGGATCTTTATTATTTCCAAGAAATTTCTGGGAAACATTCACAAAGCTCTTCCATGCTTCTTCCTCATCCACCGTCATCGTCTTCGGGAATTCTGGATCTTTTATAAGTTCCCTTATTTGCGGCCCATTGAAAATCCCTTCTTTGATTTTGGCATCTGACAACTTTGAGAATTTTTTGTAGAGATATTGGAAGGCTTCGCTACTTCTTTTTTTAAGAGCCTTGATCAATAGTTTTATCAACCCCAATTTAATATGGAGTGGAGGTAGTAAAATACTTTTGGGATCCACTAATTGTTCTTGCTCTATGTTCTTCTGACCAACAAGAAAATTTTCCCTTGATGGCCAAACCTTCCTTTCATAATGCTCATCACGAGCTCGACTATCCCATTCACATAGAAAACAAGGGTATTTTGTAAATCCACTCTGTTGTCCCAAAAGTATTGTTACTACCTTCAAATCCGTACATATTTTCCATTTGTACCTGCTATAATTAATTTTTTGGAGCAAATAGTCCAGATTGCAGTGGTTCTCGGTCAATATCGTCGAGTAGGCTATTGGAATTGACGCGAGGTTATTGCCATTGTTCAACAAAACAGCTTTCAAACTCCTGTTTGATGAATCAATGAACAGCCGCCAATCGTCCGAATCATGTTCAACTCCGAATTCGCCGAATAGACCTTCTATATCTCTGCAAAATACTAATGATTCATGTTGGTCATAATATTTCCGGAAAGGCTCATCCCTATTTCTGTAATACGTCCCGATTGTTCCTTTCTCCAGAGAACCTTTTTCCTTTAAACGAGAAGCTAACAGTTCAGACTGGTCCTTAGATAGCCCCAGATCTCGAACCAAGTCATTGAGTTCCATTTGATTCAACTTTGAATTCTGGAGCTGCTCATTCTCGCTGTCATCGTCCACGTCGATTGGAGATTGTGAGAACTCCCCTTCATTTTGCTCCGGTTCTATTTCCTTACCTCCTTCATCTTCGCCATCAACAACCATACGTTCCTCAAGGTCAACATCAGCTATCACTGGCATGGTAACCGACGAGGTGACCACGTAATTCAGGGATTTTCTGTTCCTGGAATTTATCCCAAGCTTCACGTTTCTGTAAAAGTAGCAATCGCGTTCGTGATTTTCTGGTTCCCGCCAGATCATAGGGGAAGAAAAACTCATCCTCCCAGAGCCAGTCTTCCAACGCCTCAAACGCACTTGGCATGTGCGACAAAGAACTTTTGGGGCCCATGGGTTGTTATCTGGGACTTCGGAATTGGGAAAACACGACTGAAATTGTGCAGATATGGTCTCTGTGAAATTCACCAAGTTCGTCTTAAGGTGATATTCCCCACACAGAACGCAGAAAGACTCTATTCTTCAAGCAGTTATCCATTTTCCCGAGTGTTTTTCCACTTCCGGGCAAGTTGGAGTTAATGTGCCGGAATAGCCTGAGTTCTTCTCTCTTTCAAATGAATGGAATGAATAGCCGAAAACACTTGATCAAATGACCAACAGAAACCAGTCGCTTGTGAAAGACTCACTCGAGAGCTTGGCAGTGCTACTCTAATGGAGAAAAAGATAAAGCTAATGGTTTCGAAACTGTCAGTATTCTTGAAAACATGAAAGAAATGTTTACACTTTCGTGCGAATTTTTGAAGTGAAACTTCTTTAGGCCCGTTTTTGGGATAAGGTGTTGGTCGAGAAACCGCGTCACGCCTCCCTATTGAGAAGAAATTTAAAAAAAAGCTGTCCCAACCGGGGATCGAACCAGGGACTCTGGCGTGGGAGACGAGTGCGTTAACCACTCCTCCACTGGGACTCTTGAGACATCGATATCAAAATCGAATGTTGTGGACAAGGTTGTCTGTCTGACACCAGCGGCGAGAGTTTTTTTTTTAAATATCGTAATATGTTTTATTTTCCAAATTTTCATTCACATGGAATTTTACATGTATGGGATTTAGAAATTTCGACTATAAGAATAGAATTTGCAGTGTCTGCGCGTTGTGGGTGACTGGGTTTCGAGTTCTGAAACCGCAAAACTTTAGCTCCTTGTCCTCCCTCCTCCAATAAAACCTAGAACATCGATTTTTGTCAATTTCGAACCATTGTTAGCTTTTGAAAATCATGTAGGAACATTCTACAATCGATGTCCTGACATCATGCGAAATTTAAGAACATTGTGATAAAACCTTGTTGGCAAATCGGAGTTTTTTGGTTTTTGAATCTTGAGTTATTGGATTCCACAATTGTTGCTTAAGATTGTAGTTGAGCTTATAGAATTAGAGCAGGAGATTGCCACTGCAGACGTACAAATTTTTGACTCTTGTTCTCCATGCTGTTTCATAGGTCCCATTCCACACGAACAATCGGGTTTACAGAAGGTTCTTTATTGTTCGGAAATAAAAAATGTTTCCAAGAAGTCCCCCAACATGATGCGAAATTTCAGACGAATGGGTTGAGCAGTTCTCGAGATATGGAAATTTTTCTACTATCCCGAAGAATCGTCTTCCATTGCTCTAAGTCTGTCCACTTTTATTCCATTCATTCCTAATTTAGCCTACCTACAACACTACCATTGTATGCATATGGCCAAAGAAGTTTCACTTCTACCGTCTGGTCCGACAGAGACCCAGTTTTTTCCAAGCATGTATTGTAGGATCCACATCTACGTTCTAGTTTCAACTTTCTTTTCTCTAGCCAATATTTGACAAGGTGCAACCATTATGGCAAACTTTTTTGCCAAAGCCTGCTGGCGCTGTACTCCAGCCCAGTTGAAATGGAGTCCCTATTGCAAATGGTACGCGTACAGTTAAGAATCCGTGCGCCGCAGAGACAGGGCAAAACGTACGCCTAAACGTACGCTTAAATGTACGTCACACTCGTACTCTTAACTGTACGCGTACCATTTGCAATAGGGGTGTCCTGCACGATTCCCGTGGACAAGAACTTCCGCTGTTACCGGCTGAAAACCCGTAAAACAAAGAATTCTCTCTGATACAGTCTGGAGTGGAAGTGTCAGCCTTGCGCTTTCCTCACCTAACCTGACCCAACCAAAGGTGAACCTCATCCAGCCAAGATCCCATTAAACCTGGCCTAACCTGAATGAACCTTAATCTCATTCAGCCTAGCCGTAACCGTGACCGTGAGCTAACCTCACTGAAATCTTAGGGAAACCCAATTCAGCCTTACCCAACCTCACCTAATTGTAAGAGAAGCTAACTGCAAGCAATTTAACCTAACCCTAACTGCACTAAACCTAACATAAACCTTGGCAAACTCCAACTGTAATCTGACGTCACCAATCCTAACCTCAACCGAGGATCATCTCAATCAACCTGACCGAACATCACTATCATCGTGGAGTCTTGTCGTCAGGAATTTCGGGACTGGAAATCGTGGTGGTCATCCATTGGAATGTCCCACTGGGCTTATCCCCAATCAAGAACGGATATCTGTTGTCGAGAATTCTAAACTTTCGGTCAGCTCCTCCGGGACAAGCAGCTGATCGAGTCAATGTTCTGGCAAGGTTCTGTAGTTATTCATATCAGGGCCGAATGGGACACCTTTTGACCAAAGCAAATTGATCGTTAAGTTTCTACGTCTTGGCAGGGAGCTTAAAATTCGTGAGTTGGTAAGATTTTGGAGCAGTAAGCCTAATGTTAGATCAACCGTCGTCAACTTACAGCAAATTTGTGCCGTCAGATTGTGTTGGTTGTAATGTCTTTGAAAAGGGCAAAAGCCCGTAAAATAAATAAATCAGGAAATGGGCCTGCCCTGAGCAGCACCCAGAGCATGACTCCAAGGTTCCAAGGCCATTAGGGTCAGTGCTGGGTCCACTGTCAATATCTCACAGCGAACGGATCGCCGAAATTGGATGCCTTGACAGGGAGATCGAAATCCGCGAGATACAACAATCATGGCAACATTTTATCCACTGGGGTGGCTCTGTGATAGTCCCGGTCGAGATTTAGGGCTCCTTTCCAATGTTTGGAAGGTATTCAAGACCTAAACAGTCACCCTCCAACTTAACAGATCCCTTCAGAAATTGTCCCGGGTCCAGTTCCGAAAAATGGCCATTTTAGCCCCTAAATGACCTTGAAATCTCGTTTCTCTGACGTGATGGGGCTCAGCGGACCCCGGGATCTGATTCAGGACGCAAAAATACCTCGGAATACCATGGTCCAGTCAAATTGTCCGGACTTTTTTTTTGTAAAGCTGTGTAATTTTTTAAATTTTCAGGTTTTATGATCTAATTCCACTGGAGTAAAGAGTAATTATTCTAGCCTTTTCCTGATCGGTGCAATGTATGTCTGTTTTGTGTTAATAACAGCAACAACAAACAATTTAAATCTGTATAAAAAAACCTCGATATAGACAGAAACACGCGTAATAGATACGTATTGTCTAATGGCTAATAAATGGTAGTAGCATTTAGAAGTTTTAGAACGCATGCGTGAATTTATTTCAATTGTTCCCGCAGGTGCTTCTTTCGATTTTTTGCTGTTGCTCGTAAAACATAGACGACACTAATTGTAACAAGATTTCGCAATGTTGCCAATATAAATCGAACTAGAATTTAGTTGCTTACCAAATTTTATTGTTTAAATTTAGTTGGTATCAATTGAGTTTCACGAGTTTCTGGTGGAGGTAAAATAACCTCACTTTAAATAAGGTTCGTTTGTTTATTTTTTAATAGTTTATGGATTATAGGAAACTTTTAAGGAAAGTGCCATTCGTTCACATTTTTATTTGTTTTGTTTTTTTTATAGCTACATTGATTATAATGAAAACGACTCCGACTTACATATCATACATTTTTTATCATTAAAAGAATTGTTTTTTTTTTGTTTCCATTTTACTATGTATTTTGATTGTAAGAGAAACAAATATTGTTTATATATTTTTTTAATTTCCGCATCTACACTACGTCTTGACTATATTGATTTATATTTTGTATAATTTTTACCAAATGTTATTGCTTTTGTTTACATACATTGGCTTTTCTATTACCATCAGAAAAATTCATTAGTAAACATTTTGTATAGCAATAAGTCTAAAATTTCTGTAAATGAATATATTATAAGTCTTTTAATTTGCATTTAATATTACACTTTTCCTAAAAAAGAAATGCAGCGGTGTTATCAGCCAGGGGTTGATTGTTGATTGTTGTGATTGTGAAATCATTGTCAAACTGCAACTACTGATCCTTCTAATCTGTTCATCTGCACTGCCCTCTCATTTTTTCTGCATCGACCTTTTAATTCCCGATACCGCACAATTGTTGTTTTACCTAAGCACATTAACATTTTTAGGTATATATTAAGATAACCATTAAGGAATATTTCCACGGTAAAAAAAATATACCTTGTGTATTCTTTCTAACATAAAAAAAAAATATTTTGGTGTCGATTGAAATATTCGCTCAATATTTCAGTCAACGTTTTTAGACTTTAATACTTATTGCACCAATTCACTTACCTTTAATAAACCTATTTAGTAAAATAAACTAAACAATATAATACTATTATAACTTGGTAAAAGTTAGTATTTTAGTAGATGACATTTTGTGATTTTAAAATTAGTATTTGTTGAAAATATAAGATCGTGATATGCAATTAATTTTACGTTACATTTGCATAAAAGAACAAGAAAAAGTACCACAAAATTTTACGCTTAATTTATTATTATTGGGTGTCATTATGCATTCATATTACTACTTTAGTATTATTTTATTTAATGAGAACTACCTACAAAGTATTTTAAATTTTCCCGCGACACCACTTTGATATTAAACTGACATTGGTAAGTAACTAGATATGTTAAGTTGGCAACGCTGCGAAATCTTGTTACAATTAGTGTCGTCTGTAAAACATCACTGAGTTTATTTGCAAACAGCCTAATATGACTCACTAGTTGCACGGATTAATTTACTGATTTCAACCGACTTATTATCGTTCATTTCAATGGTCAGTTTAATTTTGAGTAAATTATAAGTTTCATTAATTTGTGAATTTATATTATTATTTGTGGTGTTCTTGCCGAGTATATTCAAACGAGGTTTTATTTTTAAGTGCCNATTATTATTATTATTATTATCATTATTATTATTATTATCATTATCATTATCATTATCATTATCATTATCATTATCATGATTATCATTATCATTATCATTATGATTATCATTATCATTATCATTATCATTATTATTATTATTTTTATTATTATTATTATTATCGTTTAAATATTAATTTTCATTAAAAAAATATGTATCTATGTGTACAATACTTTGTTAAAAACGTGTTTTTATTTACATCAAATGCCAAAGTGTCATTATTTATTAATAACTAACATCTAAATTAATTGAAAAATATTAGCGGTTTATGCACCAATCACCATTACATTTATTATTTTTAATGTTAGTTTTATAGTTAGAGAGATAGCAGATGATAAATGAATTTAGATGTTGAGATGCTTGATCTACATACTGTAATACACAATTATTATTACAAAGTGGTATAATATAAACAACATTGCTTCTTTTTTAAGAAAATCATCTTTATCTTTTACGTTTATGGTGTATAAATTATTAATAAATGTTATGTTTTTATTTGCAATCTAGGTAGGTATATAATTGATTCATTTTCGAAAACATTATTTATTTTATCTGAAAGTATTTGTATATACCTGTAAATATATCATTATTTCATTATCATCATAATTAAAATATGAAATATAAAGAAGGGGCCATTGCGTTTAAAAACCATGTTTGATGCGGCCTTCCGAAACACCCCGTATATTTCATAACATTTTTAA